GCTGCGCCGGGCTCGGCCGGGCTCAACAGCTCCCGCGCCGCCGCTGCTGCCGCCCGCGCTCGGGCAGGAGCCCCAGCGCCATGTTGACGGTTCGCCGCGAGCGCCCGCTCGGGCTGGGTGTGTGTGAGTCTGTGTGTGTGAGTGTGTTGGCCAAGTCGTCCCTGCGCGGCGACAGCGCGGCTTGGGCTCCCCGCCCGGCGGCTCGCGGGCTCCCCCTCCGCCGCCGCCCGCCTAGCTCCCGCTCTCGGTCGCAGTCTGGGCTCCGGCGCGTCTCCCCCGCAGCCACCGAGCTCCGCCAGCGTTCAGCGAGGAGCGCAGCTCTGCCTCACCTTGCCGCTGGGAGCCCGGGCTCCGTCTGCAGCCGCACGCCGCGATCCCAACGCGTCCCCCTCCCTCGTTCCCTCCTCTTCCTCCTCCCCCTCCCCCTTCCTACCCTCCATTTATTAGCTTTCCTTGTGACGCTCCCTTGACTTCCGATCCTCAGGATGCTCTTACCACCTCTCTGCCTCCCTCCCTCCCTCCCTCCCAGCAGCCGCCTCCCCTCCCCCCGCAGGCGCAGCACTCGGGCGACAGCCGCCCGCCCGCCGCCGCCTCCAGCTCTCGCAAGTTTGAGCTCCCCCAGCCTCCGCTCACCCTCCGCTGCGGCGCTTCAGCAGTGGGGCTTTGGGAGGGGTGATTCCCCAAGAAAGGTCTGCGCGAGTTTCCCCGGCCGTCATCGATTCCCGGCCGCGCGCGTTTCGTCTCTCGGGGTCCGAACCCCAGACCACTTGGGTGGCGGCCCCCTCGCCCCCGGCCCTCTCCTCCCCCTCGCAGGCCGAGTTGGCTGCGCACGCCGGGCCTGGGCGCGCGTCCTGGGTGAGCTGGAAACCGGCTCGGGCGGCGGCGGCTCGGGCTGCCCACAGAGCCAGAGCCGAGGGGACGGGGGGTGGCAGGAGCGGCTCTCCCAGCCGCGCGCCGAGACTCCCCTTGCTACCCAGAAGGCCAGTGGAGGACCGCAATTACCATAAAGCGCCTCGCACTCTGCTCCGCCAAAGCTGTCAAACCCCAGCGGCAGCCGCCGCTGCCGCCTCTCGCCACCAGCGCTGCGCCCTCCCAGCCTCACCGCGTCTCTGAGACCACGCAGAGCCGGGCGGGTGCGCGTCCGCGCCCACCCCACCCCGGGCCGCCCCTGCCTCCCGGAGGAGCCCTTTCCCGTTTCTGTGTCAAAGCTACATGAAAACACCACCCCGGCAACAGCGGCCGTTCCGCCCGAACTCCGCGCCCGAGTTCCCCGGACATTTCAATTGTATGGGAATTGTTTGGAGAGGTGGGGGGCAGTCCGTGGGACACAAGGATGCAGTGGGGGGGGCGGATAGGGGAGCAGAGATCCGCCAGAATTTCTCCTGGTTCGCGGACATTTCTCGGTCTACACCTCAGATGGTTGGAGGGTCTGCCCTGGCCCCTCACGCCGGCCTCGGGAGATTATCTCTCGCGTTTTATTTTCCTTGGCAGGGAGCAACTTTTGGCGCAGACCGTTCGCCCCATAAATTTCCAGTCGGTAACGTCGTGTTGATCGGTGCTCAGCGGCGGCGTACAGCCTGCGCCCGCAGCAGTTCAATTCAATTGACACGTATTGAGCTTCTCCAGCGCACCCGGAGCCGCGCTGAGCGCGGGGCGCGGGGGCAGCAGGCGGGAGGGGGAAGCGCAGAGGAGAGGTTCCGGCTTCCCCGGAGAGCAGAGCCTCAGGGGCGAGCCGAGAAGCCCCAGTTCGTGAAGCTGACGGGAAGAGGTGGGGGAGGGGCTGTTCGGCCTAACCGCACCCAGACAGCGGGCCCGGACGTCGTGGCTAAAGGTGACCCCACTCGGCTGCTCGCTAGAGTCTTTTTATGCTGGGGGGGGGACCGTCACTTTCTGCCTAAGGACAAGATGGGGCAGGCTCGATAAGAACATCAATCTGAAATGGAGGTGGCCTGTAAATCCACATGGAAAGACAGTTTCAAAATATCCTTGAGTGTCCCCATGCCAAAAATAATCAAAAGCATCTCAAGTTGATTACTAAGTCAAGGTCAGGGCCAAAACCTGCTCTAGCTAGCAGATATTTTCCCTTTTAAAAATTAGACTGCAGGACTGGTATTAGGTGAGATTTTATTCATTCTGTTTTAGTTCTCAGCACATAGCTGTAAAAACAGCCCGTCTGAAAGCAGAAGTGAAACATCTTTACCGTTTGAAACCCGAAACTTGGGGCAGAATTAAATCTTCATGCTCCAGAGCTGTTTATAACAACTGATGAAAAAGACAGGCAGGCAAGTGCCCCCAAGAGCAGTGCCCAGCCAGGCTGGGCCTCCAGCGCAAGCATCTAGTGGTGAACGCTTCCAGGACCTGTGCCTGCAAAATGGAATGCACACCTTTTTCTTCCTGGTCTTTCGGGGGATGGATGGATGTCGCTGAAAGCTAACCCACACATTTTTTTAATCTCCTGTAACAAGCAGAAAGACACCTGGACTATTATGTTGTAAAGCTATTTTTTATAAAGACATTTTAGGGCCAGGCATTAAAAGTTATTAGACTGAACGCACGCGAGTTACAGACACAGCTGGAGAAAAGACCTCTGGTTGTGTGTTGTAGCAACATTTCTTTTTGAAGCGACTCCTTTTATTCAAAACAAGTCTAAAATAACCAGGAAGGCTGAAGTTGGGTATTTGTGGGGAAACTCTCTGAACGTGGTTCCAGGCGGGAGGCCGCAGCTCTGGGCAGTGCAGGGGAGCTGGCCTGGGTGAATGCGGAGCCGTGCCAGGCTCTTCCGGCTCGGTTAGGCCGCACCGCGGAGGCCCTGGCCTGATGCCCGGTCACCTTCTCTCCCCTCCTCTCGCCTCCCCAACTCTCCCCACAAGCACAGGCTTTTCCCAGAGTTCCGAGTCGCAAGTAAGCGTCCAGAACTTTTGGGAAACCCAGGAACTGAGCGATAGCAAGGGGCCTGAGGCCTTGCAGAGCCCTGCGGCCTCCCGGGGCTGCTGACAAAGGGACCTGTTTGTCTAAGTTTAGAAGTCCAGGAGTTAAAAAGAAGGGGGGGTGGGTGCTGTAAACGCGAAGCGGCCGCGGGAGGGCTGACTGCAGGAGAAATTTGATGCTGGAGACAAACAGGCCAGTAAATTCGCCTTTTACGTAATTTGCAGCATTCACCACCCCACCTCTCCTTTTCTTTTAGGGGAGTCTCGCCTCCAAGGTATCCTCGTGTGGGCTGGTGGGATTAAAGTGTTTCTCTTCCATCTCAGAGGAACACATTTTCCAACTCCGTGGGATTTTAAAAACATCTTATTAAGGGAGTCCTAAGAGGCATGGAAAGAGCCCTCGTGGTGCAGCGGTTAAAGTGCTAGGCTGGTCAGCAGTTCGAATCCACCAGCCACTCTTTGGAAACCCTATGGGGCAGTTCTTCTCTGTTGTACGGAGTTGCTATGAATCCGAATCGACTGGACGGCAATGGGTTTGGTTTTTGGGAAGAGGCATTGGGGGGTGACTCACTGGGAGTTAAAATGTGGGATTTTCCCTTGGCGCTGTAAGGCTGAGGTTACACCTACTGTTCCTCGATGGATTGTTCCGGGATCGAGAAGCAGAAAGCTCACACAGGGCAATCCCATCTTGCGTCCCTACTCGGGAAGCGGCTACGGGAGCTGGGGACGACGCGGGGCCAGCAGCTTGTGCAGGAGTCCTGGCCCTTCCCCTGCTCCCTCCTCCCTTGCCCTCCCAGGAGCCCCTTGGGAGCTGACCTGGGGGTCAGGCCGCTATACCCGGCACTCAGTGAGAGAAGGATTTCAATGAAAGCAGAGGAGGAGGCGGAGAGAGCGAGCAAGTGAGCGCAAGGGAGGGGAGGCCGCGCAGTGAGCAAAGAAATAAATAGCCGCCGAAATGAAAGGTGCAGAGAGCCGAGCGGCCGAGCCTCCGCCCTCCACCCTTGGAAGAGTCCCCCGGTTATGACATATGGCTGGATTTCAGGCTCTTGGGCACATTTTTGCTACAGATTATACCCAGGCCCTGCAACTCTCAAGCAAGCAGGTTGACGCTTCTGGGAGCAGGCCTTGAGCCTGGTCACCCCTTTCAGGCCAGACTGACCCGTGCCAGGCCTGCCAGGCTTCTCCTGCACCTCCAATCACGCCCAGGCCTAGGGGAAAGGCCACTACTGCCTTCCGTGGTAAGGTCTTTATTCCGTGTTTGGGGGGGGGGGTCCTGTGCTGCTAATATCCCGTGGAGGGTTCGTTTGTAATACATGTGTAGCATCTAAATCACACAGCCGCATACACCTCTGATGACCATTCTCAGAGGCTGTTCTCAGGCCTGTGACACTGGTTATTAGAATAGGAGGAACTTAGATGATTGCAGATACTGTATTTTTACTTTACATAGTGTAAGGCAGCCTGTTACTGTTACCTATTTAAAAAAAATAACACGTGAACTCTCGCACTGGTAGTCTTCCGGTTACTCTGCGGCACTGGCCCACCCTCCCTCCAACACAGGGCATATCTCTGGCTTCCCCTGAAAAACTCAAATGAAGTGACAACTGAAGGCCCATCCTGTCCCGGGGATTTCAATAATCTGGAAACATCTAAATGTAGCTGCTTTCCAGGGCAGGAGACTGCTGGAATTACGGGTCACCGGGTTGAAGATGACTGCTCTTTCTGCCTGTCCTTTGGAAGGTTATTGGGCGTTTAGAGGTGGAGGCCTAAAAGGGCAGGCTCAACGTCATACGCAGTAACCGTCTCTCGGATTTTCAGGCCTGGGGTCGGTTGGTGTCGGCCCTTAGCTTCTCACATTGAGGCACCGGTGGATAGACCGCTGTCTACACTACCGGGCCCA